TTGTTCCATTAACGACATCAGACAAATACATAAGCTTCATCGGCTCTTACAAAGTGAGATTTTAAGGTATGTTTTACTCCACACTGTTGGAAAGTTATGGAATCCTTTAAAAATACGGTTCTTCACTCCTTATATTGAGCAGATTGTCTTAAAAAAATTTAGAAAAGAGGCTTTTTTGCTCTGGAAGACACACAAATTATGTTTTGCTTCGCCCATTTTTTTAGTTGTTTATACAACATGCTTTCAACAATTCATTCTGATTTCCTAATTAACAATTAATTAATGAGCGAGTGAATCACCAGCATAATTTTCCCCATGCTGGAGTCTAATTTTTGTTCAACAACTTACCGCTTTTGCATAGGCTTTTCCAATACCATCGGTGGCACCAGTAACAACTAGAAGGTATTGTAGAAAAAAAAAAATGTGGGAAAAACAAAATAAATTAGAATTTGTCTAACATTTTCACACAAAATATTTGATTTGATCCAGAACTGCTAGAATATACAACTTTTAACTACGATAACCGATTTTCCGAAAAAAAATACGAAAATATAGTAGATTCTTGCTGGTTCTGGAAAAGAGCAATTGTTTGGAGTCCAACAAACATAATCACCAAAAATCTTATCACATTTTACTAATTTTCCTTAGGTACGTATGTTTCACATTGATAACAACAATGCATTTTCGATAAAGAAAAACAACAACAACACACCGGTGATGACTTATGTTCTTATCATTCTCCAATTCACATTTCTTGTAAAACGAAAAAGAACAAAAAAACACCTTACCAGCCCATGAACCCATGCGACGAACATCGACCTTAGGTCCAAAAAATTTCGGACCAATTATGTTCATATACAGCCATGGCAGGAATTTTGTAAGAAGTTGATATCCAACAATGGAAACGGCAGCCGTACCCACTAGACGCATACACTTCGTATCGAAATCCATAATAAGTTTGTTTGCAGCCCTTTTCGATTGAATTTTGTTAAATTTTCTCACTATTCCGTGCGTTATTGTGAAAAATAAATTTTTTGGTTCGCTTAGTTTGTGGCGCTTTTATTAACTAATGTCACTTGAAAAAAATTTTATTTTATTTCATTGATTTCAGTGAAGCTAGAGCAAGTAAATGAGTGAGCTCCTAGTGTCGAGTGATGTTCCACACGTTGTTCTATGTGTATGTCTGGCTTCCAATTGAAATGCAGAGAACAGCAACTCGGCATTTCTTTTATTTAATTTTTTCCCGTTGATGGTTTTTTGAGTCGTTTTATTTCTATTCAATATTCAGAACTCATACGCCAAATATTCATGTGCGCTGGGTCGGCATATGACTGGCGGTTGTTGATAAGGAGGCAATCAGTGTGTTCTCTCCCCCTTTTTGTACATGCTGCTCCCAAATACATTCTCACATTGCCATGGCTCTTCAACCGGCATAATTTCGTTTTGTCGTTCTCAGCCTTCTCTTTCGTTAAAAATAGTTTTCGCTGTGTGTGCAAATGTTTTCCTACTCAGAAAAAAAGGGTGTGCGCATTACACATTGTTTGCCTCTCAAATGTTTCCCCAGCAATACCGTTATGCTCACACATGCAATCTGAATGAATAAATGTCTCTGTGTTTAACCCCCTATTCTCTTGTGTGTGGGGTTGATATTTTCCTTGTTTTGATTTTTAACGTCTGCCGCAGATGATTTTCAGTTTGACAGAGTGGCATGTCATTAGGGGTTGTTGGTGCTGTAAGTTATTCGATAAAAAGTAAAGCATATTTTTCGGCTGATGATGGTACGGCCGAATAATTTATATTTTATTTGAGTACCACCGAATATTAAGTAAGAAGCAAAATGGAATAAAACAAAAAATGGTAAAAAAAACCTGTAAATAAATGTTCATGAAGCAAAATCTTCTAAAAACTTCTGTAAATATAAAAAATATCTATAGAAGACCTTTTGAAAACTGCCGATACCCAAAATAACTGCAGAGGACTTCTGAAAGAGGAGCTTTTGAAAGAAGAACTCTCTGAAACATTGCAAAATCATTGGAATACTCATTGTGGCAGTTCTTGCCATGTGAAAGTGCACTTTTTTATACATCCACATAGTATGGAGGGTATGCTAAGTTCGTCGTTCCGTTTGTAACTCATCGAAATAATAATTTTAGACATAAAAAAGTGTACATATATTCTTGATCAGCGTAAAATTTTAAGACGATTAAGCCCTGTCCGTATCGTCTATATCGATCCACGATATCGTATAGCCGCCATATAACGGTAACCAACCCCTCCCCTATTTTTATTTTGATGATTGTAGCTAAATTGTTCAAAGAAATTATCTGAAAATCCACAAAAGGAGTTCCTTCTGAATACTTTACCCCCTGGAAGAGTATAATCTATATAGGTCCACGATATAATATGTCCCCCATATGACGACACCTCTCTATATTCGGTATTTTGATGATTTTAGCTACAGTTTTCAATGGTGTTGTCTAAAAATCCATACTAGAAGTTCTTTCTAGAATTTAGAATTTTAGAATTAGCAATGGATACTACAGCCTATGACAAAAAATTGCGTATGTAGGCCTTCGTATAACCTGCATATATCGGTACCTCCCAATATTCGATATTTTGACAATTTTAGGGACTTTATTCACCGGAGTTGTTTCAAATTTCGTATTTAGTATTCGTAATGGGTACTACAATATATGACTAAAAATTTCGTATGTAGGTCCAGGTCTTCGTATAGCCTCCATATAACGGCACCTCCCGATATTCGGTATTTTGATGATTTTAGCGACATTATTGACATTATTTAGAGTTGGTAAAGGGAACTACAATCTTTGACAGAAAGTGTCTATCAGTACCTCCCTATATTCGGTATTTTCATGATTTTAGGTACAATATTCACCGAAATTGTTCGAAATTTCGTATTTGAAGATCCAAATAGGTACTACAGCCTGTGACGGAAAATACTCCGGTCCAGGTCTTCGTATAGCCTCTATTTATCGGTACCTTCCTATATTCGGTATTTTCATGATTTTAGTTAGAATATTTGAAGTTCCTAACAGGTACTACAGCCTGTAACAGAAAATGAAATTGTCTATGCAGTCCACGTCTTCGTATAGCCCCGAAATAACGACACCTCCCTATATTAGTTTTTTTAAGATTTTACAGAATTTTTAACGGATTTTATTTTTTTGAAAATTTCCAAATTATTTCCAAATGGAGGAGGGTATTAAAAGTTCGGCCCGGTCGATCTTACTGCTTTTTTACTTGTTCATTTTAAGGTGTTCATCTTCTATTAATAACTTTTCCCACTTGTTATACCCTACAACAAATAGGTGCTAAGGGTATTATGTCTTTGTTCATTTGTTTGTAATATGGAGAAGGAAACGAGATGGACCCATAGTTACTTTTGAGGATCTTCATAGAATCACTTTCTGAGTCGATTTATGCATGTCAGATCGTCTGTCCGTCTGTCCATCCATTTTTGTGAACAAAATGCAGGTAGCATTTATTATCCGATTGAGCTGAAATTTTCCAATACAACAATATTTGTTTGGTTTGAAATTGGTAATAATCGGATCAGACTTAAATATAGCTCCCATCAATCCAAAGTGGCCAATGTCGGTCCAAATGACCAGAAAAATAGGCTGAATTTTGGTACATCTGACAGAATTCAGTCTAGAAGTAATTACATCAAATTTGTTGAAAATCGGTTCTGATATAGCTATAGCTCCCATATATATACTTCATCCGATTTTGGGTTTTAAGCCCCTCACATGCGTAATATGCAGATATCAAATACAGCCCAGAAATGCCTCTGCCAAATTTGATCAAGATCGGTTCAGATTTGGATATAGCTCCAATATCTATCTTCAACCGATTACGGGTTATTTGTGCACCAAATGGCCAATATCAGTTCAAATGATCTGAAATTTGGTACATCCAACCGAATTCAGTGAAGAAGCAAGAGTATCAAAGTTGATGAAAATCGGTTCAGGAATAGCTATAGCTCCTATATATATGTTTCATCCGATTTGGGGTTTTAAGTCCCTCACATGTGTAATATACACAAGAATGATATTTGTTACCAAATATCAGATACAGCCCAGAAATGCCTCTGCCAAATTGTATCAAGATCGGTTCAGATTTAAATATAGCACCAATATCTATCTTCAACCGATTTCGGGTTATTTGTGCACCAAATGACCAATATCAGTTCAAATGATCTGAAATTTGGTACATCCGACCGAATTAAGTCTAGAAGCAAGTAAATCAAATTTGGAAATCGGTTCAGATATAGCTTTAGCTCCCATATATGTGTTTCATCCGATTTGGTGTTTAAGTCCCTAATATTCGTAGTATGCATTCGAGAACAATAATTTTTGATACCATATGTTTTATGGAGCTAGAAAATACTTTTGCCAAATTTTATCGAGATCTGCTAAGATTTGGATATATATCCTTAATCCGATTTCAGGTTTATTATGCAAATAATGGCTAATATCAGCCCAAATTGAGTGAATTTCCGGACATACGTTTCCATTTTGTGGAACTCGACTCATATATGTATTTTTTTTTTTTAAATAATCCTTCCTGAAGTGATATCATGCACTCTATAGCAAAAGATAAAAATGTCTCCGTCAAATTTGGTGGAAATCGTTTCAGAATTGGATATACCTCCCATATAGTAGTTCCCAAACTATGACTGCTCTAAAGACAAATTTTGATAGGTGGTATGATTTACTTCAAATAAATTATTTTGTTACTGGAGCTCTACTAAATATGCATTGTGGTGTAGGGTCATCATATAGTCGGCCCCGCCCCCGACTTTTAATTACTAGTTTTTTGGTTTTGATCTATACTTTTCATTTCTTTCCAATTGCGTTTTGTTTTTTCCAAAAATCATTTGAATTTTCTATATTTTCGACTTTTTGGCTATAAAAACAAGGTCTAAGCTACAGGTCTATATTTACATACTCAAAATCCTTGTATTGGTCATTAGCGAATAAAATTGTAAGTCTTTTTTATTTTGTTGCAATTTTATGACATAAAACTAATCTCTATTTCAAAGAAGCACGAATTTTACATAACAATTCTAGCAGCTATAGATAATAATTGGAAATTACATTTCCACATCAAAGGCCATTGAGATTCCTCCAACGAAACATTAAAACACCAACGCAAATTTAAGCACCACCAATTAAGGCACACAAGGCACGCTTATAATCGCCAGATGTTTCCGACTAGAAATACAAAATATTTAAATTAATGTATGTTAAAAAAAACAATTTCAATATTCATTTACATCAATGGCGCTGACGAGTGTCCGGTTATAGATCCGTTCAAATTCATCTTTAATATTTATCAAATCTATTTCAGAACGTGAAACAATAATACGTATTAAAGTTTGATCCTCAGTTCCAGCTCCGGACATGGCATTGTTAAGTTGACTTGCAAAGAAGGCGGCTGGAGATTGTACACATTCAACTGAAAATGTGGAGAAAAGGTTTTGAAATAATTAATCTATTCATAAAATAATGTAAATTAACATAATTTTGTGATTTTTATAAATTCGAATATTAATTCTTAAGGTGAGAATACATAAAGCGCTTATTTGGCTGGCTTAAGTCATCGGCTGGCTTCTTCGTAGAGGAACAAAGGAGTTTTAGGTTGACTTAGTTCAATTTTGGCCCTAGGCTAATTTTTAATTTCCGAAGGTGCCAGCCGATGACTTAAGCCAGCCAAATAAGCGCTTTATGTATTCCCACCTTTAATATTTTCCATCCCGACTTATATATTCGTAAACACACTCACCCACAGCCATCATGGCTTCATGCATTTCACCACTCATTTCATGTTTAATAGCCTGTTCCAATGTTTGACCCGACAACTCCTTGTATTCCTCAAACACCAAACGTAACTGGGCGAAACTGTCATGGGCCAAAATGCGATTGAATACCTCTTCATCGGTACCCAATTTGGCTTCACCAGCACTATACAACTGTTTAGCTTGCTCCTTAGCTTTTTCGGGATCAACAGTACCCACGGGATCTCGCACACCCGTTATTATCAAAGTCAACAAACGGCGAAAATGTCCATCTGTTTCACTGCATAGTTGTTCGGCCAAAGGCCGATCATACATATCCTCGTAACATTTTACGATTTCCGACATTTCTTCATTCGATTTTGTACAGAGTATTTCAACGAGCGTACTTTCATCGGTTCCCATGCAAGCCATGGCTTCATGTAATTGCTTACATAAGTATTCAACTGGCGGCGTCATGAGGGCAATAATGACATCCTCAAGTTTTCCACCCAACTCACTTTTCAAGTCCTCTATCAAATCACGTCCGTATTCACGTAAAAAGTGTTCTTTGATTAGCTGGCGTTGGGCATTGGTGCGAGCTGTGAGAATATCAAGAATTTCCTCTTCATTGGTGCCCAAACCCTTCATAGCCTCACGCAATGTTGCGGCATCCGACTCGGCATCAAAAGGATTGGCTGGCAGAACCGAGGGAGTTGGCTAAAAGAAAATTAAAATTGAAAACATTTCCGGTAAAAAACAATATCTTTTAATTAACTTTCAGAACTTACTGCATAATCCATGACTCAGAATAAGTTATTTTAATTAATTAAATGAATGACGTCGTCCAGTACAGAGAACAATGCTTTCCTTATTTGTCGTCTTTTTGCGACGCCCCTTTAAATTCCTTCCGTTGTATACGTTTGTGTTTTATTAAAGATGGTAGCTGCACTTCTAATCCGCACTTACTTCCGAATTACCAGTTTGTTGTCTGTCTACAATGCAACTAACGAAAGAGCAGAAATTATTTATTCAGAGATTTTTCGTCGTTTGAAATTTGTGTGGCTACCATATCGTTTGGATTTTAGTGAAGGAATGAATGCCGTTAAAATTTGAAAATAGATTTCATATAATGATTCAGCATTGATATAGAGTCTTATTTTTCATCAAAATTCTGTAAGACTTGAAAGAATTTTCTTCGCTTAATATTTTATAAAAATAAAAAGCTGTTATTATATCACAAAGTTTTAAAAATATATTCAAATGTATGACTTTGATCTAAAAATATTTTTTTTTTAATTATGCAATATAATGAGAATTATTCATAACACAGTGCAACACAAAAAATAGTTAAAGGAAATATTTTACAAATTTAATTGTCATTAAATTCTACTATAGCTCCTGGGAAACGTCAAAAGTCTGAATCTTATCTAAACGCCTGGAAGGCATATAAAATATTTTTTGGGTTAAAGTACTTTGTGTGAATTTATGCGAAAATCTCCCACAAAGCTTAACTTTAGAAGGAAGACGTCAAAGGCGAAATTAATCCTCATTAAATTTCACTATTAGTCACCAAAGAAAAGAAATCTCCATTTCCACTGCATATCAAAAAAATATTTGCATTAATGTTGGCAAAAAACTCGAAAATATTTTGGCCAACATTTTTCAAAGCTCTTTATACAATTTTGGGAAATATATTGCTCTGTTCCAGAACCTGCAAGAATCTACTTGTTTGTAATGTTTTTATACCCTAAACCACATAGTGGTTAGGGTATTATGTCTTTGTGCATTTGTTTGTATCATGGAGAATGAAGCGAGATGTATTCTTGTGAACAAAATTCAGGTCGCATTTATTATCCGATTGGGATAAAATTTTCGAAACAACATTTGTTTGGCCCAAAGAGAATCTTATTGAAATTGGTGATAATCGGCTACGATTTAAATATAGCTCGTATATATCTTCAACCGATTTCTGGTTAATTGTGCACCAAATGTCCAATATCAGGGAAATTTGGTGAAAAGCGGTTCAGATATAGCTATACCTCTCATACACATGTTTCATCCGCTTTGGTGTTTAAATCCCTCACATTCGTATAATGATATTTGCTACCAGATATCAGATACAGCCCAGAAATATCTCTGCCAAATTTGATCAAGTTCGGTTCAGATTTGGATATATCTCCCATACATATCTTCAACCGATTTCGTGTTAATTGTGCACCAAATAGCCAAAATCTGTCCAAATGACCTGAACTTTGTTACATCCGACCTGATTCAGTCTGGAAGCAAGTACATCCATTTTGGAAAAAAATTGGTTCAGATATAGCAATAGCTCCCATACATATGTTTCATCCGCTTTGGTGTTTAAGTCCCTCACATTCGTAATATGCACCCCACAAGAATGATGTTTGGTATTAGATATCAGATACAGCCCAGAAATACCTCTGCTAAGTTCTATAAAGATCGGTTCAGATTTGGTTATAACTCCCATATATATTTTCAACAGATTTCGGGTTAATTGTGCACCAAATGACCAATACCAGTCCAAATGACCTGAATTTTGGCACATCCGACCGAATTCAGTCTAGAAGAAAGTACATCAAAATTGATGAATATATGTTCAGATATAGCTATAACTCCCGTATATATGTTTCATCCAATTTGGTTTTAAAGTACCCCACATGCGTAATATACACTCCAGAACAATGATATTTGATACCGGGAATCAGATACTGCTCGAAATTACCTCTGCCAAATTTTTTCGAGATATGCTCAGATTTTTATATAGCTTCGATATACACCGAACTCAGTCTAGAAGAAAGTACATCGAATTTTGTGAAAATATGTTCGGATATAGCTATAGCTCCCGTATATATGTTTCATCCAATTTGGTGTTAAAGTCCCCCACATGCGTATTATACACTCCAGAACAATGATATTTGATAGTGGGAATCAGATACTGTTCGAAAATACCTCTGTTAAATTTTGTCGAGATATGCTCAGATTTTTATATAGCTTCGATATACATCTTCAACCGATTTCGGGTTAATTGTGTACCAAATGGCCAATATCTGTCAAAAAGTTCTGAATTTTGTTACATCCGACCGGATTCAGTCTAGAAGCAATTTTGCTATAGCTCCCATATATAGGTTTCATCCGATTTGGTGTTTAAGTTCCCCACATTCATAATATACACCCGATTTTACGGATATTGCACCCCATATATGTAATATCAGCCCAACTTGAATAGATTTTTTTATATTCAACCGAATTTTACTATTTGATGAAACTCGGTCCGGTATATCTATTGCTGCAATAAATATTTTTTTAATATATTCCTTATAGAAGTCATATCATGCACTATAGCAATGTTATTTGGTTCATACTTGGTATGATCTATTTCACATAATTTCCCAATATAAACTTTTTTGTAACGGGAGCTCTACTATATACACTTAGTGGCGTAGGGTATCATATAGTCGACCCCGCCCGACTTTTGACCTTTCCTTACTGGTTTCGATATCATAAAGTGAAAAACGGTTTTCGAAGTAAAAAATTACTTTTTGCAGTTCTGGCACACAGCATATATCAAAATATTGGATTCTTCTTTTATATGAAGGCTTAATAAAAGGTTTAAATATGCCCTTTATCCGTTCAAGGCAATATAAAGCCCCATGGTAAAGCCCCTAAAAAATTGACTTAAGAACTCAAAACTGTTAAAACTTCACACTTCTACAGTTTACTATTACAAAACACATTATTGTCAAACTTTCAATAAAAATGTATATATTGAATAATTTAACATAAAAAAGTAACATCTATTTTCAAGAAGCACGAGTTTTACAAAACAATTACAGCTGCTGCAGACAACAATTCGCGAAATTACATTTCCACATAAAAGGCCATTGAGATTCGTTCATCGAAACATTTAAAACACCAAACACCCAAATTTATGCATCACCAATTAAGGCACACAAGGCACGCTCATAATCGCCAGAAGTCTCCGACTAGAAATACAAAATAGCAAAATTAAATGAATTAATTACAAAAAAATATTTCTCTTCTTTAAGTTACCTTAATAGCACTGACAAGTGTGCGATTGTAGATCCGTTCAAATTCATCTTTAATATTTATCAAATCTATTTCAGAACGTGAAACAATAATGCGTATTAGAGTTGTATCCTCAGTGCCAGCCCCGGACATGGCATTGTATAGACGATTTGCAAAGAAGGCAGCTGGGGATTGAACACATTCAACTGAAACGGAGATAAAAAAATGTTATATTATAGCAAAATGAAAAAAAATATTGCTGTGTTCCAAAACTGCAAGAATATAAAGCTTTTTAATACGGTAACCGATTTTCCCTTTATGATATCGAAAAAGTTGCAACATTTGCAGGTTCTGGAACAGAGCATACGTTATGAAACAGTACTTCAGTAGACTACAATGCTCAGCCTAAGATAAATATATTTAAAATTGTTTCTAAAAACCCTCTTGGATATGGGTTGGGCCAAAGCTCAACTATTGCTCTGTTCTAGGACCTGTAAGAATTTACTAGTTTTACAATTTTTTTCCGATGTCATAAAAATTTGGACTTTCTTGTAGTTTTGGAACAGGCCATATACATCATTTTCAATTTTAGATCCTACTACATTCTAGTTAAATCACATCATGAACTTTAACCACAATTCAGCTATGCAACTGGAAATACTGTTTTTTATTAGAAATTCATAAATTCTCTATATGAACTTTAAGTCTTCTCATTTATCTATATTTTTCAGAATAACACTCACCAATTGCCATCATGGCTTCATGCATTTCACCACTCATTTCGTGCTTAATCGCCTGTTCCAGTGTTTGACCCGACAACTCCTTGTATTCATCAAATACCAAACGCAATTGGGCAAAGCTACCATGGGCCAAAATACGATTGAATACCTCTTCATCGGTACCCAACTTGGCTTCACCAGCATTATACAACTGTTCAGCTTGTTCCTTGGCCTTTTCGGGATCAACAGTACCCACTGGATCGCGCACACCTGTAATAATCAAGGTCAGCAGACGGCGAAAATGTCCATCTGTTTCACTGCACAGCTGTTCGGCCAATGGCCGATCATACATATCCTCGTAACATTTAACAATTTCCGACATCTCTTCATTCGATTTTGTACAGAGTATTTCAACGAGCGTACTTTCATCGGTTCCCATACCAGCCATGGCTTTATGTAATTGTTTGCACAAATATTCAACTGGAGGCATCATCAGGGCAATGATGACATCCTCAAATTTGCCACCCAATTCACTTTTCAAATCATCAATCAAATCACGTCCGTATTCTCGCAAAAATTGTTCCTTGATTAGCTGGCGTTGGGCATTGGTGCGTGCTGTGAGAATACCAAGAATTTCCTCTTCATTGGTGCCAAAGCCTTTCATGGCGCCACGTAATACAGCGGCATCGGCCTCGGCATCAAAAGGATTGGCTGGAACAACTGAGGGCTTTGGCTGAAATCAAATTGAAAATATTTAATTAAAAAAAATTCTCCTAATATTGCACTTTCAGAACTTACTGTATAGTCCATGATTCACAATATTTCTCTTGAATGAATTAATTACGCTTAAGTGACGTCGTACTACTACGTACTCTAACTATAATTAATTGTACTTTCTTTTTTGTATTGTCTTTTTAATGTACCGCCCCTCTAAATTCCTTAGCTTTAATATGTAGGTATGTATGTGCTTTGCAGTTGTTTGTCGAATACGCGCTACTGCTTCCGAATTACCAGTTTGTTGTCTGTCTAGAATACAACTAACTAAAACAGAAAGAGAGTACAATTAAAACAAAAGCAAAAATGATTAATAAATTTTCCAGAGATTTGTTTTGCTCGTTCACTTCGTATGTAATTTGTGTCGGTACCATATTGATGGAATTTTTATGCGAGACTGGCTGGCATCGCACCAGCCGTTAATATTCGATATTGGTACGGCAGCTTTTTGATAAGTTTGAAAGTTTTTGGTTTGCCAATTTCCAACTTTAAAATAAAAATACGAAAGAAATTGTAATCATTGTAATTCTTTTATGTTGTCAGGTTTTCAAATCTTCAAGATTGGAGGCTTGAAATTAATATAGGCTCTGTTTCAGAATTTGCAAGAATCTACTAGATTTGCATTTTTCCGATATCATTAGATAATTTTGTTGATCTCTTATAAAGCGATAGGTCGGTCTGTGAATACAAGTGCAACGCAATGGAAAAGTGGTAAGACCTGTCAGAATACCGCACTGAGAACTGCTACAGGGTGTCTCATCATGACTCAATGGACCATTTACATGAGCAGACAAAGGTTCTTTCCTAACGTCAGCATAATCATAAGCTTTCGTTGCAATACCTACTTGGGTGTTGCCGTGTGAGTCATCCTAACCGTGCGAGTCATTTTAACTATGATGGACAGCACTCTCTCACACAGACGTGTCGGGAATGGAGTTGTATCATAGACAAATGAAGATATAGACAACGAAAAGTTAGTTTTGTCTTTTTATCCAGGTGGCTCTCGTCATGTTTTGCATAGTCAACATGCTGATTTACGCGTACAAGTCACTCGACTTCGAAAACACATTTTATAGTTTTTCAAGAATTTCACTGGAATATTCTCATATTTTTCGATGTCACTACATAGTTTTCACTTGTCTTTTATTATGGAACAATTTACAACTGACAAATATCCTACAGTTTTTGTTATTTTTAACGTTTTAGAATTGAGTGACTTCAAAATTCCCACTCAAACCCCTGAAACAATATAGACGACATCTGCTGATCCGATTTTTTTCGAAGATGAACGGTGAGAGCATTTCGTTGTCTATATTTTCATTTGTCTATGGTTGTATGATCTAAAGAGAGAGAGAGAGAGAGAGAGAGAGAGAAACAAGAGAGGTCATCCATAGACAAATGAAAATATAGACAACGAAATGCTCTCACCGTTCATCTTCGAAAAAAATCGGATCAGCAGATGTCGTCTATATTGTTTCAGGGGTTTGAGTGGGAATTTTGAAGTCACTCAATTCTAAAACGTTAAAAATAACAAAAACTGTAGGATATTTGTCAGTTGTAAATTGTTCCATAATAAAAGACAAGTGAAAACTATGTAGTGACATCGAAAAATATGAGAATATTCCAGTGAAATTCTTGAAAAACTATAAAATGTGTTTTCGAAGTCGAGTGACTTGTACGCGTAAATCAGCATGTTGACTATGCAAAACATGACGAGAGCCACCTGGATAAAAAGACAAAACTAACTTTTCGTTGTCTATATCTTCATTTGTCTATGGGTCATCTAGATCAGAAAACCTATCAGGGAGGTATGAACATAGACAAATGAAAATATAGACAACGAAATGCTCTCACCGTTCATCTTCGAAAAAAATCGGATCAGCAGATGTCGTCTATATTGTTTCAGGGGTTTGAGTGGGAATTTTGAAGTCACTCAATTCTAAAACGTTAAAAATAACAAAAACTGTAGGATATTTGTCAGTTGTAAATTGTTCCATAATAAAAGACAAGTGAAAACTATGTAGTGACATCGAAAAATATGAGAATATTCCAGTGAAATTCTTGAAAAACTATAAAATGTGTTTTCGAAGTCGAGTGACTTGTACGCGTAAATCAGCATGTTGACTATGCAAAACATGACGAGAGCCACCTGGATAAAAAGACAAAACTAACTTTTCGTTGTCTATATCTTCATTTGTCTATGGTATGAATAGCATTCATACTGATGCAGTCGCCGATGTAGTTAACCATTGGTGATACCATTACGAATGCCATCTTCGGAGTCCACCCACAGAATCTATTGCACCCGAAGAACATCGGCTGCCTAGACAAACCTTTATAGTTTTGGCGCAACTACGTTCAGAATGGTGTAGCCGTCTCAATTCGTATTGGGCTCGAATTGATGAAGATGCGCGAAACACCACAAGGTGGTCAGGGTATTATGTCTTTGTGCATTTGGTTGTAACAGGCAAAAGGTAACGAGATAGACCCATAGTTCCTTTTGATGATCTGCATAGAATCTCATTCTGAGTCGGTTTATGCATGTCCGTCCGCCCGTCTGTCCATGTATTTTTGTGAACAAAGTACAGTTCGCATTTATGAAATTTTGCACAAATCATTTGTTTGGCTCAAGGACGAACCCTATTGAAATTGGAGATAATCGGTAAAAATGTAGATATAGCTCCCATATATATCTTCGTCCGATTTGCTTTTTATAGTGCACCAAACGTGTAATATCAGCCCGAATAGTATGGAATTTTGCACATAAAACCAAATTAGGCCTGAAAATAAGTATGCAAAATTTCATCGAAATCGGTTCAGATATAGATATAGCTCCAATATATATTGTTCATCCGATTTGTTATTTTAGTCCTCCACAGCCGTAATATGCATTCTGTAACAAAAATATTTGGGAAAATATATCAAATACAGCTCAGAAATATCTTTGCTAAATTTTATCGAGATCGGTTCGGATTTGGATGTATCTCCCATATATAACATCATACGATTTACTTTTTATTGTGCACCAAACGTCTAATATTTGCCCAAATGGGATGAAATTTGGCACTTACGACCGAATTGAGTCTAGTATGTCAATTTGGTGAAGATCGGTTCAGATATAGCTATAGCTCCCATATATATTGTTCATCCGATTTGTTATATTTGTTACCCACAGCCGTAATATGCACTCCGTAACAACGATATTCAGGGAAATATATGAAATACAACTCATAAATATCTTTGCCAAATTTTATCAAGATCGGTTCAGATTTGGATATAGCTCCCATATATATCAAATGGGCAATATAAGTCCGAGTTTAAAAGATACAAATGCTTCGGCATATTTAGTCTTTTGAACTTTAAATTATAATTGTAATCATAGCGTGTATGTTTGAATTCTCCCATAAAAACTTTTTATTGTTATGTGGAGCTCAACTAAATTAGCAAAGTGGTGTAGGTCGACCCCGCCCGACTTTAAGACTTTCTTTACTGGATAATGTTTTAAAAATCTTCAAACTGACCATGTTTTTTCAACATTTTTTTCAGATTCCTATATGAAGATAATACATCATTCGAAGCTGGAGCCATTTGCAGTTTACTACTTTATCAATAAGCATGAACTATGCTAAAAGAGATTTGTATTATCGTGTGAAACTTAAGTAAAGGTGAGAATACTTTGTCTGGAATCTTTGTAAATAAACAAAGAAGTTTTAGGTAAACATAGTTTAATTTCAGCACGTAATCTATATTTTTTCACCCTACGCACCTTTGTTATTTTACGAAGAAGCCATCCGATGACTTAAACCAGGCAAAAAAGCGTTTTATGTATCCCCACCTAAGGAATTAACAGCTGGCAGCACTCAAACCATTAAATAAAACTGCCAGTATTAAATAATTTAACATTAAAATAATCTCTTATTTTCAGGAATTTTAAGTTTTACTTGACAACTACAGCTGCTAAAGACACGAATTGGGAATTTGCATTATAAAAAGCCAGCACGATCTACCACCAAAAAATTTAAAACATCAACAGTAATTTAGGCACCGCCAATCAAAGCACACAAGGCACGCTTGTAATCGCCAGATGTTTCGGACTAGAAATACAAACATTTATAATTAATTAAAATTTTTTTAAACAAATTACCCAACTCTATTGTTACCTTTATAGCACTAACAAGAGTGCGATTGTAGATTCGTTCAAATTCTTCTTTAATATTTAGCAAATCGATTTCAGAACGTGAAACAATAATACGTATTAGAGTTGTATCATCAGTACCAGCTCCGGACATGGCATTGTATAGCCGATTTGCAAAGAAGGCAGGTGGGGATTGAACACATTCCACTGAAATGGAGAAAAGAATCGTTAAATTATAGCAAAATGGAAAAAAATATTGCTTTGTTTCAGAACTGCAATAATATTAAACTTTTTTACTAGGACAACCGATTTTCCCATTATGATATCGACAAAAGTTGCAGAACTAGTAGATAATGGTAGGTTCTGAAACAGAGAATAAGTTAGCAAAAATTTCTTCAGTAGAAAGGAATGCTCAGCCTAAGATACATATGTTTAGAATAGTGTCTTAGAACTTTAGTGGATATGCTTTGCACCCAAGTGCATTTATTGCTCTGTGAATCTATTAGTTTTACAATTTTTTTTCCATATCATAAACGGAATATTGGTTATGGTAGTAAAAATATTGTACACTCTTGTAGTTTTGGAACAGGCCTTATATCATTTTCAATTTTAAATCTTATTAGAATCTAGTTAAATCACATCATGAACTTTAACCACAAATCAGCTATGCAATTGGAAATATTGTTTTTTATTAGAATTTCATCAATTCTCTTTATGAACTCTAAGATTTCTCATTTATCTATATTTTCATAAAAGTTCTTACCAATTGCCATCATGGCTTCATGCATTTCACCGCTCATTTCGTGTTTAATAGCCTGTTCCAGAGTTTGACCCGACAACTCCTTGTATTCATCAAATACCAAGCGCAATTGGGCAAAGCTACCATGTGCCAAAATACGATTAAACACCTCTTCATCCGTGCCCAATTTAGCTTCACCGGCATTATACAACTGCTCAGCTTGTTCCCTGGCCTTTTCGGGATCTACAGTACCCACTGGATCTCGCACACCCGTTATAATCAATGTCAACAAACGGCGAAAATGGCCACCAGTTTCACTGCACAAATGTTCGGCCAATGGACGATCATACATATCCTCGTAACATTTCACAATTTCCGACATTTCTTCATTCGATTTTGTACAGAGTATTTCAACCAGGGTACTTTCATCGGTTCCCATACCAGCCATTGCCTTATGTAATTGTTTGCACAAATATTCGACTGGAGGCATCATCAGGGCTATAATGACATCCTCAAATTTTCCACCCAGTTCACTTTTCAGATCATCGATCAAATCCCGACCATATTCACGTAGAAATTGTTCTTTTATCTGCTGACGTTGGGCATTGGAACGGGCTGTG